GGGAGGGGAGTCCTTGTCTATGGGTCCATCTTATCCTGGACACTGAATTCTGTCCTGGAGCTTATTTGTCCTAACCCTGCAGGTATGCTGAGGTCTTTGATCTCCCTGAGGTGGGGGATGAACATGGGATCCACAAGCTCCCCTCAACCTGCCCACGAGGCCATGGTCTTATGACCAGAATAGGCTCCAGGGTAGTTGGCACCTCACCCCTCGAACCGCCTGCACAGGATCTGTCTTGGGAGGCCTGACCTTAGGACTGTCTGGTCATGGGGTGGTCAGCAGGCCGGATGGGGGGCAGGGCAATGCTTAGAGCCAGCTCAGGACAGTGTACTCTTCAAGATCACCTTAGGAGAGCTGCTCTCCCATGGTATGTTCTGGAATGTACATTCCTTTGCATCTGCAGAGCCCTGCCTGACCCAGGGCCTTGCCCACATACTTCCGTGGAGAGGGAGGAGCATCTGTCCCACAGTCAGGGAAACTGGGGGGAGAAGGGGGTCAAGCCTTCTGGCTAGGGCTGTGGGAACCTACTGGTATGTAGTTGGTCTTGGATCATGATGACAGTACCTGTGAATGTGGGCCAGGTGATGTGTCACACCTCCGGGTACCACATGCATGAGCTGGAAGGCCGCGCCAACCCACGATGCTCCTGGTGCTCCTAGAGCCTGAAGGAGCTGCCCAGGACTGCTCCTGCTAGCCTAGATCTCCAAAGGATTACATATCCCATTCCCAACTCCCCAATAGGGTGCTGTTAGGTCAGGGTCTTAGAACTACTTCTGGAACAGTCAAGGTCTTTCATGATAAAGGTTCCTTACAAGTCCACAGGCTTGCCTTGAATTTATAATTTTCTCAGTCATCTGCCCCATTTTCCTATTAGGATATGCTTTTATACCTCCTATTTATTATTCAGATTGGGTATTTCTTTTCCCATATGCTGGGATACAGATTTTGGTGCAGTTGTGAAAACTGGCTTCCACCTCAAGCTCGATCCTGAATTAATAACACTGCGCGTGTGTGCAGGAATGTGCATACGTGGGTTGGAGACACTGCTACACAGAGGGATGGCTGCCACAGTTACTAAGGGTAAAATTCAAGGCTTGAAATACAGCCTGGGGCTTTCAGGTAAGATTGAATGTTTTCAGCCCCCAGGCAGGGTGGCTTCGATGTTTTCATCAAGGGATCACCAACTCAGAGTTCTGACAGGTAAATGCAGTCATCTCCTTAAGGCAGTCATGCTGGGGACAAGAATTCCTGCTGTGGAATGGTATTTCCTAGGATTTACAGCTCAATTTTGTAGCCTCTGAAAATTCCTAGGACAGGTGTGGCTGGGGCAACCTGCTGGGACCTCCCTTGGTTGTCCAGAGCCTCACTCCCAAAGTCCCTTGGAGAAAAACAGATGTCCAGTACCTACAGTCCCCCCAACCTTGAGCTTAGCAGGCAGACCTCCCACTTCTCTCTCGGCAAGGGGTAGGGTGAGGTGGGATGAGGTGGGGTAGGGGAGGGCTAGCAAAGCTCAGTCAAGGAGTCAGCTTTGGACCCCAACTGACCCGCTGCAAGTTCCCCTGAGCTGTCCCCCTGCCCTGTCACCTCACTGTTTCCCACCTTGCACAGGCACAGTGTACCCCACTGAGGACCAGGGACAGAGGGAGTGATCTGAGAGCAGCCAGCACACATGTGCACCAGGGGCAGAGCTCCTGGGTTTGCTCAGCCTGTCTGTGCTGGATTCTGGCCCAAATAAGAGACCTACAGCTCCACTGGGCACCTGACCAAATGCTGGCTGAGCGTGCTGCCCCCTCTCAATGGGCGCCACGGAGAGGGCGCCAGGTCTGCTGGCGCTGCAGCGGCGCTCCCAGGGCTGGCCCTCACAGGGCTGGCACTGCCTGAAGGAGCTCAGGGGTGATGGCTCTAGAGCAGTGGCTCTGCCTGCTCTCGCCTTTGGGCCGGAGAACTGCCTGCCTGTCCCTAGGGGAGCAAGAAGCGAGCGAGGCAGCCACACCTCCATTTAACGATGTGCATTAGCAGTGCCCAGCAGCCCCCACGGAGGAGAGGTGGGAGACAGGGCGCCTTCCCAGGGGGAGGGCAGACTCTGGACTCTACGCAGTGGCTTTCAACTGCCCAACAACCCCAGCAACCAGGGCATGTG